CAAATTTGGAAATTGAAATTGAAATCTGGAAACAGAGGTTTTAAGCTGGTTTCATTTCCAGCTGGTTTTAGGCATAGAAGTCAAGCAGCTTAAGATGGCAGTGTGGAAAAAGCTTTAGAAATAGGTGGGAGAAGATTAAATCAGGAACTAGGGAAAGCTGCAGTTACAGAATCTCTAGAGCACATCCTCCCATTGCCAGTGTTTGATAGTGTGTGAGCTACTCTTGGGCTGGTGTTTCATCTACTGTACTTTCAAGGCCAATTCCCAAACAGGGGCTATCATATTTGGGATGCAGATGTCCAAACACCCACTGGATGGCAGCAAAGAGATAGTTTCTACCTTCAAACATTTCTTTCTTCCCTGCTTTTATCCTTTGTCCTTAGATGAGAAAAATAGTAACTGCTAGGGTTGTGGGGAAACCAAACCTACATCTCCAATGTAAACATATTTAAAACATATTAAATAGCGTCACATCAGTTTTTGGGGAAACTTCAACACTTTTTTTGCAGTGGGGGGGGAGAGACTGGATTTGGGGGTGTATTTTCACAAGTCTCTGGTTTAGCCCCTCCCCCTTCCTTTGAGATGGGGAGGGGAGAAGGAGGAGGCAGGATCTGCCCAAGAGCAGTTAGAAGCTCAAAGTTTGAGAGATTAACCAGTTGAATGGTGAGTACTGTATATGGGAAAAAAAGCATGTCAAATTTGTTGGCAGAAGGTATGGGAAAAGATAAACTCATATTTTTAACGGACTGCAGAGTTTGATTAGTTATGTAAAGCGAAGCTAGCTACTGTTTTTCAACCTTCTGTAGAGCCTCTTTTAGCAGCTAAAGGGAAGCAGATGGATCTTATTAGAAATGAAGCTGCCTTCATTTGTATTATGAAGGACATGTCAAATAAGCCCCCCCCCCTTTTTTTTGGTGCCAATTGTCCCCCTAGTTTTATTATCTAGGCACCTAAAATGAATATTTTAGTTCTGGATTAATTTTATCTGTTCTTCAAGAAACAGCAGGGATTTGCATTTTGTGTGTGTGTGTGTGTGTGTGTGTGTGGAGGGGTTATATTTGTATTTTAAAAGCAGCTTTTTGGTTGAAACCGGATGAGTTGTTTATGAGAGCACGGAATCTAAGAGGAAGTCTTTGGTGAAGTTCAGTGAGAGACTAATGTGCATATTAAGGACTGTTGTGGCCTCCTCACTCTTATTTTTCCAATTTCAATACTTGGAGCTCAACAGCAGAATTTCACTCTTTGTCACTGAGCATGTGTGACCTTATTCATGGGAGAGTCACACCATTCCTTGGCACTCTATTTGAAATCTTTTTTTTTGCATAAGACACAAAACTTTGCAGCTGCGACATTAAAACTCAGCATTTTTCCACTGTACTTTCTCTCTCCCCACCCATCCCGTCAGTGCCATACAAGCTTAAAGAAATCAAACATTTTAAGGTGGTAATCTCACACATGCTTACTTTAGGAGTAAGTTGCTCATACTCTTAGCTTACATAGGATCTGGCTGAAAGCCCTATTTAGAAAATACTTTAATGAAGTTAAAAAGTAAAATACTACTTACGAGCACCACTTTCTTCAAGCAGCGCCTGACATCCAGTCGGAAATTTGCTGAATCTTAAACAGATGTTCCACAGCCGGACTTTGTTGTCCACTTTTGTTAGAATTGGGAGTTACTGTCACAAAGCACTTACTTTAAATGAAGCGTCTGGAAAGCTTGCCTTCTCAAATGAAGTTTGTTGAAGTGGGTGCCTTGTATTTGCATCCCAGTTTCTTCCAGCAGCTTGTTTTTTTGGCTCAGCTTTGCCAGAGGCATATTTTGATTATTGTGTAATGTGTTTGAGCTTCTGCCTTATGTCACGTGAGGCAGGGAAGAAAACCTTCCACACATGTGGCTAAATACTTGGAGAAATCCCTCATCCCTCTGTTCCAGGCAGAGGCTTCCAAGGATCAGGAGCTACTTGTCGTCTTCCACATGCTACCTGGTGACTCTAGAAGGTTCACCAACACTGCTGGCCAGCTGGTAGCCCTGAATCTAGCCCACAGGTATTTTCTTTCTAACTGGGTTTCTGACAATTTTGCCAAATCTCAGCAAGTGTAGGCACTATATATTTAAGATCAGATTTTGAAGTGCAGAAGCTCAGGGTGAAAAGTACATATATCACTAAGGAAATCTTTCAAATAGTTTTGTGGCAAGTCTCCAAGCCTAACGCACGAATACCTCCGAGAAAGTTTTATTTAAATCAACAAAGCTTTCATTCATAAAACACATACATTTAACAAAAGACCTTTAGCCAGCTGGAATTAATTTTTTTGTTATTAAAAAAACGCAAGCAGTCTTGCATGGAAGTGTTACCCCAAAGCTTAAGTGAAATAAGGCCTCTGTCAAAGAAATGTAGCTCCCAGCCTCTGCTTATTTTTCTGCCCTGAACTCCCTTCTCTTAATTTATCATAACATCCAATAAAACTAGAAACCACCTCTCCTCATTCACTCATCAGGAAGGTCCACAAATTACCTTAGAGCAGATACACTGTAGATGAGACATTCTACATTTCAATATTTCATTTTTAAGTCAGATTTTGTATACTATAAATTGGACTCAGAATCAAAATCCTGGTCAGGTTTTCAGCCTTTTTCCAAAACTGTCTTCCATTCCCCAACTGTGCCTGTTGAATATACTCAAGTCCTTCCTTCTCTTTTTTGGCACTTTTCCTGAATATTGTCTTGACCAGAAGGTCTTACACTATAATCCCAGTTCGTGCTGCCTTCACATGTGACATTAAACAGCACAATAAAACTGACAAAAGCATATGTTGGTGAACTTTTTGCATGTTGATCCTTGATCCCTCACCATCAGGATTCTTTGACTGTGCCTTATGCTACTTCTATTTAGCTGTCCTTTGCTTGCAAGCCTTATCCCTTTTGTCCCAGCACTGGCAAACTGCGCAATGTTACAGCTATATTTCTTACTGGAACACTGTATATGTTGTGTTGGCTATTGCTTCCCACGAAATCTGGGAGAGTTTCTGCAGTGTCCCAAGAGAGAGCTCATAAACTATTCTAATAGCAAAACAAAATGGTTAGCTTAGTCTATATTAGACACTTTGTTTAGATTAGTACAGCTAAAAGCCTTTAAGATGAATGTTCGCAGATGTGTAGCAGACCAAAAGAAGCACTACTAAGATCAGGCTAAAACAGGGCTCATATTTTTTAAACTTAGCACTACCTCTCTTACAAATAACATAATGTGCCAGAATGAAGTACTGCAGTGTGACTTGTATTAGGAAAATTATGAATGATGACGTGGGTAACAGTTTTCTACCACGCTCACTAAAGAGAAGGAAAGGTAGATGTGGGTAGGCTCTCCTGCTGCCAGCAATTACAATGCTTTCAGTACAAAATAAAGAAACAACATGAAAAAGATTACATGGAAACACATGGGACGAGAGTCTGAATTAGGAAAAAAGGCACATAGAAGATGAAGAACACTTCTTGGGTTGCATCAGATGTGGCTGGTGAAAGAATTTGGATAGGGCTAGAAAACAATGGCTTTTTTAGAATCCGACTCAGTTTAAAGTGCAAAACCAAATTCGGTGAATGGCATAGTGCAAAATTACTCTTTACCCCAGTTCTTTTTTCCCTGTTGTGTAAATCTGTTACAGTATTAAAAGTCTTAGTGGTGCTGGTTTTCTTGCAACTAAAATGCTTCAAGTATTTTGAAGAGGTTTTCAATGTGCCAATTCAGAATACATGAAGAAAAACAGCACTTGAAATTTGTGAAATAAGAGTTTTCCTTTTGTAGATGAAATCCACAAACAAGATAGGACCTAATATCAGCCACATCACGAGGGGCCCATTGTCCAATAAATATGCTCCTTGCTTAATAGAGAATATTAAGTTTAAAAGAAATCATGGAACTTGCAGATTTTTAAATTCAACTAGTTTTACTAAAAATCTAACTTACTAGTAAGCTGTTGCACAACACTGAAAAGCAACAGACCTAAACATAAAGATAAGTATAGAAGAATATGGGAATTATTAGAACTCAGATAATAAAAAGCTTATATAAAAATAATTATACATTTTTGGAATAATACACTTCAGAAAGGGGTCTCTTTTTTCTATGCTATAGAAATGTCAAAAGATTCTCTATTATTTTCTGTACCTTCTTTCTAAATGTCAAATTGCACTGTTATTTGTATTTAAAAGATATTCCATCATTTGCCAACAATGCCTATTATAACCAGAGGGACAACTTTGGCTAAAAGAAAAGGCACATAAAAAATAGCAACAATCAGCACCCTCAGTAGTTTCCCACTATGCAGGGTGAAACTATGAACCTAATGCATATTGGCAAGTTTGATTCTATTCATTTAGAGTTTGATTAAAAGCTAGGAAGATTAGCAAATACACAGTAACTAATATAAATATCCATTCTTCTTCTTTTTCTCAATTGAGCATTACACAGTAATGCTTGACTGTACTCTTTGCATTCTGGCTTGCCATGTTGACGTGGCAACACCTCCCTTCAAACTGAGGGCCTCAATTTGACTAGTCAATCCAGGCATATGTTAAAATGAATGAACTAGCCTTTGGTGCCACAAGACTGGAGATTTTTGTTAAAGCATCACAGCTAGAGTTTAAGCATTTCCAAATCAATAACAATTTGGAACATATTCTTGAATTCCAGAAATAATTCCTAATTGTATTGAAGATCACAATGCTTTTAAAAGAATGTAGAACAGCTTCCCTCAAGATTATGCCATTCTGATGTTGTGGCACTACAACTCCTAGAATTCCAGGCCACCATGAACAAGAAGTCTGGGAAAGCTGATGTAAAGGAAGAAAAGGTACAGTGATCCTAACCAAGTGACAAATAGAATCTTGTACGCATTTTAGAGAATCTAGGTCACCCACATACAATAGGGCATTAGGTAATGCATGGCATAGCTGTAACTGAAAACTGAGCACAATCCAATTTATCTCCACTCAGCATGGACAGAAGTCAGAGGAAGAAGGGAGGTTAGGATATCTCTAACACATTCTGCATGTTCTTACACATTCAGCTGGGGACCAATATAGGGAGAAATGTGCTTTGCAGAAAGATTAAGAAATATAACAGAATAACCTACCCCATTAGAAGTGAAATATCTGAACCACTTATAATAGCTGGAATGCTAAGATAAATTCTGCTGAGAAGCTGAAAACCATTTCAGAAGTGTGGAATTCTATTAGATTCAGATAAAGTTTTCCTCAAAGTCAGCTTTAATCTATTCAGGGAAGTAAACAATTATGCATTTATGGAACAGACCTTATCAAACGTGTGCTGTTTGATATATGCAATATTTACTGACTCTTCCAATCAATTTAGTTTTTTTTTTTAATGCAGAAATTCATTCAGCGCTATAATGTCCAAGGATTTGAGTAAACATGCTCAACTTTTTTTTTTCCTATTCAGAGAGCTCCAGGCTGGCTGGGCTATGTCTGAGTATGATGCTATAGAACAGGACATCAGATGACAGCTTGCTCAGGGAAAGTGCCCTACATACAACATTGATCCTTTTAGACGCTAATATACAAGTCCTGTGAGCTTGTAAGTCCTTTGCCCAAAATTATTGCCCCAGAAAAGAGGCCATGGGGTCATCTGGTCGCTGGCGCTTCATTTGGTAAGCCTCCATTTCCTCCTCTGTTGGCTCTCGGTTTTCATACATGCTATTATATGGTCTCTTTCTCTCATCTAATTGCATGATTTCTTTCACATGAAGGAGACGGGCTTCTTCTGCATTCAGTGCCTGAAATGAAAAGCAAATTCACTGCTTTGTTACAGTGGCACCTGGAATTACAACAAATGCTTAAAGAATCTAGTAAGCAGATGGAAAGATTCAATACAGTACAAAGAGCGAAGCTGCACTAAGACAGGCAAGAAAGGTAATGAGAAAGGTAGAAAAGTTGCAATCAGTAATAGATCATATGGGTCAAGTGAAGGTCAGATTTGATCCAAAGGATTCCAGCGGCTAGCCAATACAAAATTTTCAATAGTTATATAGCAGAACAGTTAAAAAAACTCACTATGAACACAGAAGTGAAGCATTATCTTTCTGTTCAAGCTAATGGTATATAAATGATATCACATTGCAGTTTTTTTTCAAATTTCACAGCCTACTATTAAATTAATGCTAAATACAAAAGCTTCAGCATCCACTGTCTTTTTCACTAAGGAATAGACACTTCCTTTCATATAGTTGTGAGGATACAGCTTGCTGTTCCATAGGTTGAGAATGTAATTTCACACTGGTATCAGAAGGAAAACAGCAGAATCTGATTCTCTTCTAAATCTAAATCTCTTCTAAATCCAAGAAAACCAGAACAGTTCATTATGCCAATGTGTTTGGATTGGAAAAGACACAGTCTCTCCCTTAAATTCAATACGGATCTGTGAAAACCAATATGGACCTAAGAAGATCTGTTGCTGGAAAGGTAGCTATAGGGAAGGAAGTTCCAGTATGAGAATAGAGGGAAATAAGCCTTTATTCTCATGTTCTACTCCAGATAGTCTATACGCTCCAAGAGGATATTTTGAGAATTCTATAGGACAGTGCAATTGACAGTGGTCATTTTATGCATACCTTTTTCAATTTTTCCTGTTTCTTTTTGTCTTCTCCCTCACTATCAGAACTTGTACTCTTCTTATGCTTTTTCTTTTTCTTCTTCTTTTCTTCTTTTTGTTTTTGTTGGTGCATCTATTGCAATGGGAAAGAGTATAAAACAAATGCAGACAATCATACAATTGTGTGAATGTGGGTACTCTAAGCTACGGGCAATTCGTACTCAGGGGGGTTACATGTACATGAAATTCATGATGACCCAGAAAGGGCCAGATGCATGTACATATCTGTATCATTTATCTAGCAGAGTCCTGTCCTACCTGAAAGTTTCAACAACTGCAGTAGATGCACAACTACTGATAATAGATACATTATACCATGGTTGCATTATACAAGCATGCTCTGTACTACTAAGTTAATGTACTAAGTTCTGCAGTAGTTGTCAAATGTTTTCAGGACTTCATGTAAGACAGGAGCAAGTAACCTGAAGGCCATACACACTGCTCCACAGCCTCATTTTCTGTGGCCTCCAAGATCATTCCACTGAATAATGGGAGAATGACTCTATTTTTTTCTTTTTGTAAATTAAGCAACAAAATGTGTGTAGACACCCAAGGCTTATAAGTACATTTATTTCACTTAAATCTTCCTGCCCTCTAAATCGGAAAAAAGAGAATTGCAGTTGCCACATCCTGTGAGATAATTAAACTGCTGCTATTCCCTCTGTGGCCTTTCTGGCTACTGAAAAAAAAATGATAAAGGAAGTGCAGTCACTCTGCTAATTCATTAAATACACTCGACATACCAAAATCACCTTCTTGTTCTTGACCGGCAATAGGCTTGTCTAGAAAGCCATCCATTAGGAAGAAAACAAAACAAAACAAAATGAAAGAAGAAACCCACCTCCATCAGAGTTTTGGGTTTGGTCATATGCTCATCCTCATGCACTTCACTTAGCAATTCTTCACTGGCATTCTGTGTATAGAAAAAAAAAATGAGAAAAATCAGATTTCACAAAGAGAGCTAAGTATTAGATTTGTTTTAAAAATGTCAATTTATATTTCTAGTAAATAAACTATATCTTACAGCAATTTCCTTTCCAGCTTCTCCTGTACAATATGAATACTTGACAAATGAGTAGCAGCATTTATATCCCCATCTTCCTTCTTTCCAGTAAGAACCCCAAATACACTGTAAGGAAAACAAGGGAATTAACTGCTTATAACGACGGAACAACAACAAAAAATAATGGTGTGCGATTTTATGGAGTGCATTTCATAAAGGTTTTTTTTCCCAACAACCTTCTACAACAGAAAAATGAGCAGAGACAGTGTACAATACACTAATCGGTTGAGTTACCTATAATGTAATAATTCCTTTGTATCAGGAACCAAAATCTCTGATCTATTATATTGGTTTATTTGAAAGATTTAAGCATCTGCATAATTCTACTAATGAAATCACTGGAATCTAAAAGATAGATTACACTATTAATATTTTTCACACTTTATCCTCATTATCTTCCCAAATAGAAGTTTCAAACTGCTGAAATTAGCTAACCAAGCATTTCTATAATTACTTGATCAACTTTCTTCTTTCAAAATCTGAATTTTACCTACTAAATATTAAACACTTTCTTCACAGAATATTTTGAAATAAACTGTTAGCAAATAAATCGTTGGCTCAACAAAAGAAATGTCGAGCCTCTCTTCAAAAAACAGAGACAAACTGCATCTAGAATATCTTCTGTTTTAGTTCTGCTAAAAACTCCCTCATGACGAATGTGTCATACTACTCTCTACAAACTTATTCATGATTAACACCAGGCACTTTGTGATGACATACTGTTAGGGATGACTAACAAAAATTAGAGTCTTAGTGTTTAGGAAACAAACCAATTGTACATGACAAACTGATCACTCACGTTTTAAAACTGAGTCTGAGTAAAGTTAGTAACCAGCCCCAACTCAGTCTGTTGGCTTCATCTCAACTCAGCCATGAAAACTCCCTAATGGACCACAGGCCAGTTAGCTAACTTTCATTGAACAAGGATCCCAGGGTCGGGAGGAAAAGGGAAAGCACCATATAGTATACATTTTCCTGAAGAGAATAATTGTAAAAGCAATTTAAAGAATCATAGAAACAAAAAATATATGGTCCTCAATTGCATTCAAATACTGGCTTCTTACAATTGTAAACCTCAGAATAATTCTGAACAGAGAATCCTTACTATGTGTTGATCACTTGAATAAACTTATTTCCAATACAAACACAGACTTTTTGTTTTAGGTCAGCCTATGCAATTTTTTTGGTCAATGACAGGATTTTATTGAGAACAGCCTGTTAGGGAGAGTTCATGCCAGGGCAGGGCTGAAGTAATCAGTACAGGTAGTCCTCGATCTATGACTGTTTGAAGTTACGATGGCACTGAACGAATGGTGGTTACGACCAGTCCTCAGAGTTCTGGCCATCCCAGCACCCCGCAGTCATGTGATGGGAATCTGGATGCTTGGCAACTGGTTTGCACTTACGATCAGTTGCAGTGGCCTGTGATCACATGACTGCCATTTGCGACCTATCCTGCTGGCTTCCCAGAAAGTCAATGGGGAAGCCAGCTGGGAAGGTCGGAAGTCACTGGGTAAGTCTCCCCAAGCCACACACCCTCCCCCAGCCCCTCTGTGCTTACGTTGTGCTGGTCACTTGCACACCCTGTCACACCTTCCCTGACCCACACCTCTCTTGCATCTGACTGGTGCTGCACCTCTCTTGCACCCATCCCAACCCACCCCTCTTCCACACCCCCTTGCGCACTCTCTCTGACCTCCCTCATACCCTCATGCACCTCCTCACTCCCTCCCACAACTGGCAGCAGCCACTTACCTGCCTGCCTGCCTGGGACTCGCACCTTCATGCTGGCTTCCTCACTGACTTTGGTTGTGGGAAGCTGGCAGAAAGTTACCTCATCTAATGACCGTGGGATTTGGTTAATGATGGCAACTGGGACTGCAGGGATTGCCATTGCTAAGCAATGTGGTCATGCTTTACAATGGAAATTCCGGTCCCAATTGCAGTCATAAGTCTAGGACTACCTGTAGGTGGGGCAGATGCAGGATCCTCTCCAAGATGTACCGTATTTTTCTGACAATAAGACGCCCCCATGTACAAGACGACCCCCACTTTGATGTATTTGTGGGACTGCCTTTCACTGAATATATCTGCCGATGTATTTGTGGGACTGCCTTTCACTGAATATATCTGCCGATGTATTTGTGGGACTGCCTTTCACTGAATATATCTGCCTCTCGGCTGACTTCCTTGAATAAGACACCCTTCAGTTTTTAGGGTAAGGATTTTAGAAAAAAGTATCATCTTATAGTCGGAAAAATACGGTAATTTCCTCTTTCTGACTAGCAGAGAGGCTAGTTACGCTTGTTTCATGCAGAGGGCTTTTGAAATTATTCCAAGAGCCACAAACTGCCAAGTCCTGTTCCAGGTGCTTACTGTGTGGTTGTTGATCATTACGTCCTCCTCGTACTTAGAGCGAGCAATGGCTTTCTCTTGACCTTTAATAACTGTTCCATGTCTAGAATACTCCACATAGTCTTCTGTCTGAGCAAGCAGCAATTCAGGTGGTGGAGCATCCAGATGTTCTTGGCCTCCATACTACAAGAAAAAAAGACTTTTGAAAGATGTATTTGTGGGACTGCCTTTCACTGAATATATCTGCCTGTTCCACCAGATTGGACAGGGTGAAACTCCAGATCCCTTCTCTTAAATGTTGCCATCTAATAGGTCCTAGGAAGCCTCTTCCATAATGCCCCCTGCCCTGTGGAACACCCTCCCCCTGGGATCTGGCAGGCCCTCCCCTTTCAGCCTTCTGGACAACCATAAAAAGCTGACTCTTCCCCCAAGGGTTGGGATAGGGTGAGGTTGGAGCCCGAGGATGGCTTTGTTGGATGTACTGGAGAACCAAAGGACAGTTGAGGCGCCAGGTTTTGGTTTGTTTTTATTGCTTTGGTTTTTATTGTTACTGTGAGCCCAGAGTTGTGTTTTAAGATAAGTGGCCATATAAATCTTTTAAAATCAATAAATAATTTTTGCAGCATTTTTTTTATTTATTAAATTTATATGCCGCCCATCTCCCCCAAGCTGTATGGTGTTTGCATTTATGCTTGTCTATGAGATTCCCATAGTGGAGAGAGTTCTGATACATTTTTCAAATAGCAACTGTTAAAAAAAAAACTGCCTTAAAAATCATCTGGGAATTTAAGGTTCCTCAGAAAACATTTATTCTGATTTTGAAATTAGGTATGTTTGTCAGTGTAAACATTTTAACTTTCTCTGGTGATACGTGAGGTTATTTCCATTTTTAATTGTTTTATTTTATTCTTTAGGAATATCGATCTGGCAAAGTTTCAGGTAATTTGACATCTAATTACTTTATAAACTTTTATTTAATTTAGAAATGGGAAGTGATGCCATAGTGCGGCAAACATTTACTTTTTGAAACTAAAATGGTAAAAAGATATAAAAAGAACATTCTCAAGGAGACTGAATGCCTGTTAATTTACCTTCTCTAAGATGCTTTCTTTCTGCTGATGTTTAAAGTCTTCTTTTTTCACTTTGAAAGATTTGTACAAGAGTTCTAGTTTTGTAGGATCTGCCTGAAGATGGACTTCAGAGCCTTTTTCATAGGCCTCCCAGGCAAATACTTCGGAAATAAAAAAAGGAAAAATATTTTCAGTTTTTCTGAAATATGTGAATGTTGAACTATTAACTAGTTTTTCTAAACAGGTACTTAAAGATTCTTATTCTCTCCTGACCTCTGGGATGCTTCAGGAGGCAAAGGGAGGAGAGAGAATCAGTGTGGAGGATAAGCATTCATCCATGCCAGGCCCATTTCTAGACTAAGGATCTGAGGGAGGTAAAGGAGACTGGAGGACCTTTCACTTGGTAGAACCCCATCCCTCCCTCCCTTGATGTCCCAGATTAATCCACTTCCAGCTCCAACATGCTAAGAATTCATAAAAGTGCACATTTTCTTTCTGTAGTCAGTGGCCCTTTGGCAGTATAAGGAAGCATGCGTATACATCCCCTGACGAGTCCAGAAAGATGTATGCATAGCACCTTTAAAAAAGGCAATGTTTTCTTATATATTTTGGGAGACACCCTGTTAGAGGCTTTTGCTTCTAGTATTCCCCCCTCTCTTTGTTTGGGGGATATAGTATCAAATATGACATTCCTCACTGTAAACTGGGCATTTTCTTCTCTGAAAAAATCACCTTATCTAAAACAAATTTAACTTTAAAAAAAGTGGGCAGTGCTAAAAGATTTAGTACTTACACTGAGTTTGGGCCATAGAAATGGTGGCCCCGGTGTAACGAACAAAGTTATCCCCTGCATAACTGACTCTGTAAGCAAAAATAGTTTATTCTGTAAGTATCTAGCTTGCAATTATATTTTGCACAAACAGAAGCAAAGCAAACCCAAGGCCATTTTGATTAAATGGTAGAAATTTAGTAACACCCAATCCTTATTCATTAATGTGATTCTGGAATTCATTGTTGCTTCTCCTATTATATTTTGACCATAGGAGTCAACTCTTTCGGTCTTAAAATGTTGTTTTGAGCATTTTCTTTGTTAATAATTTAGATCAATATGTCTACAGAGAGAATAATTCATAATTCATCTGTCATTAAAATGTAGCATGAGAAACAATCTCCAAATAAAATCTGGGTAAGAAGAAAAGACATTGCCATCCTCCAGCAGCAAAATCTCCATTTCAACTACATGTAAGAATTAAATAAATTTTCTTATACATCATGGTTATTCACTGAGAGTTAAAAGCATTCTGAAGATAATTACAGAAATCTGAGATATGTGTTTTACAGCAGATATATAGGCAACCAATATTTATCTGTCCTCACCATCAACTCTCAGAACTTTTCCAAGTTCTGAGCATCCCAGACAACCTGCTTTGAGTGAAGAGCACTATGAGACGCTCCTATATATATATATATATATTTTTAACTTTCTTCAAACTAAATATCAACCAGGAGAGACCTTCCCATGTACCAGTTTGCTGTAGGGCAATATACAAGATCACATATTTGCTGAAACAATTTGAAGCTAACTTACTCATCTGGATTCTTTCCTGCATTGGCATATGGGTTCTCTCTCATTGCTCTGGTTTTGGGATCATAGTAGGCAGAATTGGGGTCTAGATTCCGTAAGTACTAAAAGCAAAAACGTAAAAATATCAACTTGAAACTCCAGTACAGCTAATAACGCTATTACTTTAATGAATGTTCTGAGATCATACATTATTTAGAGTTACCCTTTAGTAGACACAGCTATATATTCCTCAAAATCAGATAATCAATACTGTGAATTCACCCCACCCAAAGTTAGGATGCGCTACAGCTATCACCCATCACTATGCCATCACTAGTCCTCTTCCATCCCTTTAAGGAAGGAATTCCATTCTGCCAATGCAGAAATGGAGGACAGCTGTAATTTTGTATCTTGGACTATTATGCTGCATTTACACAGTAGTGAACTATTTACACTGTATGTACACCATGTTGGACTATTATACTGCATTCACACAATATCCTAAGCCACAGAGAGTGGCATATTTAGTTACTACTAAAGATGGTACTGCTAATATGACAAAGATAAGCAGAAGCAAGTTATGCCTTTGTTGAACAACATGGAGAATATTAGCTTCAAAGTGACAGTTTTTGATGTGGTCCAGCTTACTTTAGCAATATCCTCTCGAATACGCAAGTTTCGGACTGTAATGCGTCTTTTGGAGTCAAAATTCTGTCCGGGCATATCAATGTCATCTGCATATTTGTCTTCATCTTCATCTTCACTGTTATGATCTCTTTCCTAAAAACACAGTGAGTGGCATTAAGCAACAGGTATGATTTCATTTGCATCAGTAACATTACACATGGAATTTTAGGCTAATCATTAAAAAAATATATAAATACAATTTTATTAGTGAAGGACTGAATTACTTGGCTAAATACTTTGTAAATAAAAATACAATTATATAAACTTGAGGTGTTAGGTATTTAAGTTCTGCTTTGGGTCCAAGTTTCATTATATCAGTTGCATAAAAACTGCAGCTGCAATGACAGATTAATCCATATATCTTCATGTAAGGAGGCAAAATGATAATGGTCACTTAAAAATCAAGAAATTCTGATCACATGGAATATTAAGTCCTTTATGTGAAAGACCAATTTATTCCATCCTAAATTTTGTTGTTATTATTTAAAAAAAACACTCTCACCGTTTGTGAATTTGGTTCCTCTTCTCCCCATCGATGTCGTGGAGAGTTCTACAGCAAACAAAAAAATCTCTCAGAACCAGCACAAAGAACTACACAGTGAAGTTACCAGAAGGAATGATGAAATGAGAAAAGGCAAAGCTGTGTTTTGAAATAAAAAGGCCCCCACTGAACTTCTCAAGCTTAACCAAGGTGGATTATTAGCTTCAAGCCATTTTATTTATCTAAGTCATCCCTCTGTCCTCAAAATAGCTTATGACAGACCTTTTTTCATGCTGTCTCAAGTCACAAAATAAATGATTTTTAAAAATTCATTCTTTTTACAATCAAGAATGGAGACATTATACTAATGCTGCCAGTGTTGGTAAGCTGTAACTTTAGCACAACAGTTTAAGTTAAATTGGCATGTAATTTCGGTTTTAAAAGTAGCTGTTTAAAGGAGTCAAGGGATCAAAGTGGATCATAGCACTTATGATGGCATCCTTGTGTTGGTTATGCAAAGATCCAGTATGCTACAGGACTGCATCACTGCCAGAAAGAACACATGCTCACATATACAGAGAAAAGAGTTTGTTCCGTATGCAGATTTTAATCTCTGACATTTCCCACTAAAGAGACCAGGTATCCAGTGATATGAAAAGCTCTTGCCCAGACTTCGGGAGCTGCTGCAATCCAGAATAAACAACGTTCAACTAGCTGAACAAATAATTAGGTTCCCAGGTAAAGGAAAGTAAGTTCCAAACAATGAAAATATCTTTTCATCCTGAAATATCTCTGGTTCCTCTCATTCAGAAGTATTACATAAAGTTTATGCTGCCATCTAGTGAAGCAATTAAGAATTTACTGCAAGGTGAAAGACAAGGCCATGCTTTCCTTTAACTTAACAGGAGAAAGCCATATTCAGTGCTTCTTTGTGTCATCAACATCCCATACTAGCTAGGAAAATTTATTGAAAAAATAGGAGAGCGCTGCCTTACACTTCTGATTTGCTGGTCATTGACTAAATAAAGATGTGTTCTGTTCTTCTGATTAAATTTTAGAGGGTTTTTTTCCCCTGACTTACCACTTGCTCTGTCAGTTTTCCCGAAGCCAGTTCCTCTTGCAACTTTTGGGCTTTCAGCGTGCGCTTAGCCTATACGTTAAAGGAAAAGCACGGTTAGTATTTCCCTTAAAAGATTTCATAAATACTTCATACTTATCATGAAAGAATCAATGTTTTTCTAGTTTTGATGAGAAAGGCATTATAAGTTAGGGTCAATAATACAGAACCGTCAGCAATTTACAGACAGAAAATTGATTCATAACTTGCTTTTTTTCCCTTTCCTGTTCTTCCATTTCTTCAATGATTTTGTCAAGACTTAAGAATGTTTAGTCTCTTTGGTGTCTTAATACAGAGGCAGCCAATGAAAAAATATCAATGGAATCAGAAGTAAAGGCAAGTAAGAGATTTAACATGGTTCCCTTCAAACCATGAATGGAATGTAGGAGGATGTGTCTTCCTCTTGACTCCTCTTTTAGTATTGTAGATATTCTGTAGTTAATTGTTAACTGGTCAAGTTTTGGGAAAGGAGGAATCTTAATTATTTGGGAGGGGTGTTGCTTGGTGGAAGAGTACTTAGTTTACATGCAAACATTAATAGGTATAATCTTCAGGCATGGAAGAGGAAAAAATCCTATCTGAAACTTGGAAAGCTAAAGTAAAGGAAAAAAAATCTACTTACTAGATCAACCTTGGCATATTCTTCTACAATCTTCATGTGCTCTTCTGGGTTATAGCCATTCCAACGGTCTCTTTTCCCATCATAGTCAAACATCAATTGAGGCTGCACATGTTCATCTGCTGCAATGTTAGTTCCTGTAAATTTTGCTCCAACTTTTCTAGGTCTCTGCAGGGAATAAAATGTAATACAATCTTTGCCTCTCAGAAGGAGAACTGCCTATATTATTCCTGTTTCTTAGCAGACGTTAGGGAAACATAGCCCCCCCCATCACCACACAGCATTGATATTTTTTTCTGCCTTTTCCTTCTTGCACACTCTTTCCTAGTGGTATTAAGTTTTTTCCAGGAGCAATGCAGCTACTACATTTATGTGACTGAACTATTGCTCCACTATTAACACTGAAATCAGGGACCATATGGGACAAATGAATATAGTGAACAGGAGCTTCAAAGACCTAAAATTCGGAATGATAAACTACCATGTTATTGGTCCAACTGTTGTGGCCTAGATTACCATATCCCATGGTAACCACACTGCAATACCTGCAGAAGAATATGCTTTACTCCTCCCATCATGAGGTAGAAGCGTCAATTTTCTTAGATCAAAAGCTATCCCAGTTCTTTGTGACTGAGAAAGCATGGGAAAACCAGACTAACATAAGACCATTGCAAATAGCTTTGATTTAGCCACATTTAGCAACATATTTGATTGTCTTATTTCTTTATTGAATTCAGGTACCTTTTTGAAAAGTGGATGCTGTTTGTCACCTGATTAACCTCTTCCCAGTACAGGTAGTCCTTGCTTAATGACCATTTATTCAGCGACCATTTGAAATTATGGCAGCACTGAACAAATGGTACTTACGCCCAGTCTCTGAAGTTAGAGCCAATGAAGCCCCTTCGGTCACGTTATCAAAATTCGGGTATTGGGAGCCTACCTGTACATACAACCGCAGAGGCTCTTCCACTCCACCCTCTGCTTATTTCCTCAGTGGCAGTGGCAGTGCTGGGACTGAAGTAGAAGCCTGGGGCCTTCAACAGTCTCAGCCAGCTGCTGCCTCTTGTGGGCCTCTACTTCAGGCCCGGCACTGCCCCCGCCAGCCCCAGCTGACCTTTGCCTTCTTCCTCCCACAGCTGACGAGGCGCACCCAGCCTGTCCTATGCGAGGCAGTTGCTGACTGTGCCAGGCCTTCTCCCTGAGACCACATGCACCTTTCTCCAAATTGCACGCTGTCTTCTTGCGATGCTTCAGAAGGCCTTAAAAGCATTGTGAGAAGCATCGTAAGAATTATATTATTATGATGATGGCATGGGACTGGATTACCCGAGGGACTGTCTCACCCCCATTATATCTACCCATCCCACCCGGTCAGGCAGGGAGGGTATGCTGTGGATTCTGTTGATGAAAGAATGTCGATTGGCGGGGTCTAGAAAGAGAGCCGTCTCTGCCATGGCCCCTGCCTTATGGAATACTTCCCCCCAAGAGGTGAGGCAGGCCCCAACTCTCTTGTCCTTCTGGAAAGCAGTCAAAACCTGGCTCTGCCAATTGGCATGGGGCACAAAAAAGGGCAACCAACCCTGGGGGTGGCTAGCACCTTGAAGATGCTCCCATATGTTAACATCTTACTGACCATCAACATCTTGGAAGATATTATTTGTTATGTGTTTGGTTTTTATTCTACTTTTACTGTATTTTATATTGTTTTATTGTATGTTAATATTTATTGCTGTTTTATTGTGAACCACCTATTGCTGTTTTATTGTGAACCACCGATGCTCCCATATGTTAACATCTTACTGACCATCAACATCTTGGAAGATATTATTTGTTATGTGTTTGGTTTTTATTCTACTTTTACTGTATTTTATATTGTTTTATTGTATGTTAATATTTATTGCTGTTTTATTGTGAACCACCCAGAGTCACTATTTGTGAGATGAGCGGTATCTAAATTTGAAATATAAATAAATAAATAAAAATTATTGTAGTATAGTTCATGGCAAGCATTTTGCTCATAAAGGTACCTACCACACAGTTACAGTGACAAAATGAGATGTATAAAAAATCAGATTTTAGATTACAATCCTGTAGACACTTATCTATGAGTATGTCCCATCCCATCAAAATCAGTGGGGCTTATTTTTCTGTACTTATATATAGGATTGTGCCATTTACAATATTATTTGAATCTTTGAAACAGTCAAAATTGCAGTTTAAGTTCTTTAGCAATCAATAACTCTGACACTACCAAAAATAAAGTGACTTAGCTATAAAATCATGATACATTAAAAATTCTGAGTTTTTTTAGGTGTTTTGTTTGCAAGTCTTTAGGGCAAATGTTAGAACTGGAATAACTGTACAGTAATCAGAGCTAGACAAACTGCAGTAACACTCCCTCAACATTTGTATACAGAATTAAATGTATGCCAAAGGCATACTTTCATTTTGAAAAAAATGAAAGACAGCAAACACAAAGAAAATTATGGTGCACTTCTATTTCTATGTTCCATGCAACTGTCACTTCCAATTTCAGTTCTATTAGATACAATTTTTTTGAATCCACAGAGACTACAAAACGTTTACTTGACAGAGTCATGTTGCTTTTATGGAATGACTAATATTTACCTCTAGGCAATCTTTCTTCTTATGGGTTAATGCACCACAGTTCTCACAAGCACCTTTACGATATTTAGTTGCAACAGCATTCTAAAGACAAAAACAAATGAGTTCTTTGCAGCAACAGAGTATTTACTTCGTCCTCTTCTATAAGCTAGAATATGGTAGGCTCACTCTAACTTCACAAAGAAATTGCCTAACTATATAAATTCAATTGTTCTGAAATGCTAATTACAGGGAATTTTAGCCAGAACTAGGTTTGTAAACTCCAAGGAACTATGCCCCTTCACATTTGATACTGAGAAAATGTAATGCACTATCACTAAATTTGATCTTTTGAATGCTAGTCATAATGAAAAAGCCCAGCAAATTGGTTAACACTTATTCATAGTCTTGTACAACAGTATCACTTTTACATATAGCTACCTACCTCTTTAACTCCTCGCTTATACCATTCTCCTAGTAATGTAAATTCTTGTTGTTTCTCTGGCTGAGGTCTCTGATGTTTCAGCGTAGGCCTTTTTGAAGGATCTATATACCATGGCACAGAGGAAATATACTGGGGAATATGAGGGTTGATGTCTCTGTAACAAGTACAGTAGTGTTAGAATTAGATTGGAGTTTAGGCTCCACATGGCACTTATTCTCCAATAAATGTACTAGGGATATATAACTACTGTAGAAATCTAACATCATTTAGTGGTCAGAAAAAGAGGATTCACTAAATGTTTTTAGAAAAGACTTAAATGGAACCTCAATAATTTAATACAGCATTTTATTTGACCAAACAGTAGAAACTGAATTTATAGTACAGTTTTTTTGTAAGCATGTCTGTTTTGAAGATTAAATTGGATCAGATGATGTAACTAAATTACTTCTATTCAAGAACCACTTCATCATACCATGCTTTAAGATCTCAACTGGAATCTCTCCTTTGTCTGTGTGATATAGGGGTTGGGGGAAGGTCTTCACAGTCAGATGCCTATGTGACTCAACAATATACCTCATAAATAAATAACTTCACCTACATTATCACAAGCTGTCTGCACAGGGATTTTATCCCCGATAGGCTTTCTTGTCCTTTGTCTCACAGTGCCCGGCAAAGAAGCCAAAGGAGCGTTCTGGTCAAAACCAAGATCCTCTATATTAATACCAAAATGTTATCCACACTTACTAGTAGGTTAGGAATAAGACCCCCCCCCCCAAATCAATGAGGTCTTATCCCTAACCTAATAGAATCAAAAGAAACTATAATACACTTTTGAATTCCAAGATTTTTAAAACTCTGAACTAATGAATGTATCGTAGTCTCTTTTGATTCTAGACATATTAGACTTGACATTCCATGATTTAAATCCCCCCCCGCTGCGTGCTCTATTCTAGAAAAAGTTAGGAAAATACAGCACAGATCAAAGAAAGAAATCAATTCACTTTGTTCACTTCATTATTTAGCTCAATGTTTAATAATATAAAGAGTTGTAACAAATCCTTTCAGATGTAGCCCCACACTTAGTTTTGTTATAAAAGGTTATAACCTAAAAAGGCTTAAAGTTGTATTAGGATTGCAATCAGCACTTACTTTCCTTCTTCATCCACTTCAGCTGGTGCATTTCCCAGTTTTCGTTGTTCTTCCAATTCCTTCTTCTTTCTCCAATCCTCTCTTGTCATCTTCTTAGGTTCTTCCAAGCCATTTGATCCTCCAGGAGGGTTAGCAGCTATAGTTTCCATGCTCCCAGATTCTGTTGTTTTGCCTAGTAACACGAACAAGTATATTGACTATGGAAATAGGTTCCCAAACTATTTTAATAAATGCTAAAAAGGAAAAAGTCCTGACTGTGAATAAACCATTCTTAATTTCAAGAATCTAGCTGACAAGCAAATTTTCCTCCAAAGGTACCCAGATATGGTGAGTTTGGAAGACTACTTTTCTCCTTTGAGAGCAATCCATGGACCAAGAACCAGATGCAATTTGGGGATCCTCTGCTGCAACTAGTCCAGAATGCAGCGCACCCACAGTTCTGGGTGCCCTGTGCTTCACCCAGGTTACTCCACTGCTGTGTGAGCTGTACTGGCTCCCAGTTGCTTTCTGGGTGCTGCTTATCACCTTTACATGGCACAGGGTCAGGTTATTTGTGGAACTGCCTCTCCCTGAGGGTATCTGCCCATCCCACTAGGTCAGATAGGCTGGGTGAGCTACAGGTCCCTTCCCTTAAATGCTGTCATCTGTTGGGGCCTTGAAGATGCACCTTCTCTGTAGCTGCCCCAGATCTTTGGAAGTCTTTTAGTCTTCTGGAAGGCTATGAAGACCTGGCTCTTACCCCAAACACTGGGTTAGGATGGGGGCTGAGTCAGGAGGTTAATAGTTTGGTTGGTCTGGCATTTGGTGGGAAGGGCCGTTCTGTGGTTACTCTGGTTTTTATTGGTTGTTATGGGCTGCCTAGGATCATTATGCGAGATAAGCAGTCATATAAATTCTCAAATAAATAAAATACACATATTGTGTGAAATATCACCGAAAGCGTTCCCAACCATCGCCTTCCCTTTGCATACCTTCCTTAAACTCTAACTAGTCTACTACGATGCTTTTCTAAATTGGGGCACTCGCCCTCGTCTGCTCAAACGACTCCAACTCCCATCAGCCTCAATGGCAGTCGCCCTACCCAACGACAACAGGACTATGAAATCTATAATCCAAACTCCCAGCGTTAGTTGCCTTGAACTTGCGTAGGAGCGACGGAAGAAGAGGCATAACTAGAATTTGCTCTTCTGTTTTATGAAACTCAGAGCTCTGAACTTCCCGGGCCTCATTAACGAAGAGACTCAGAATTTAACTACCTGCGGAACAATTTAATCCGGATTAGGCCCCTCGCGTAAATACACATTGGTTGCAGAAAGCCTGAAGAACCGCCCGGGAAAGCAAACGAGCCCCGAGAAGCCTCTCCGACGGAAACAAGAGCACTCGCCCACTCACCCAAGTCACAGCCAGCCCTCCTGCGCCACTGGACCTGCGACGCTCACTAGGCCTCACTTCCGCTGCCCTTCCGCTTCCCACAATGCAGAACGGCCGCCTTCTCGCTGCTCCTTAAAGGGGCCGCGCTCTATTTTCAAAAGCGCTCAGCTTTCTCCAACGACGTTCCATTCCTGGGCTTTGGACTTCAGTAACTCTCTTCAGCGGACGAGCTTGAAGCTCTGCAGAGTCGGCCTTTCAAATGTCGGTGGAGTTTGTTCCCAGATAAATGGATACATTAGTAGAAATGAGGATCTGAAGCCCAAGACTTGGTGGAAATGCACTTTCTTTAATACAAGCCGCTACCATTACGTTACTGCAATGGGATTTATTATGGCATAAGTTTCCACAGATCTTTGTCTTGTTTAAAGCCTTTGATAAAGTGAAATGCAATTTATAAACATTTTTATCTCATCATGGAGAATATCTATCTAATGGGGTCGCTAAGAGTCGACAACGACTTGATGGCACGTAATTATCACCATTACCCATGACTATAATGCCACAGCATACCGTTTTCTTAGCAACAATATAGAAGTACTGCCTTCTTCCAGGACTTTCTCGACCAGTGTAGCCGATAGTCATGGTATCCCTGGGGTGGCGGTCTCCCCTCCAAGTCTTAGCCACGGCCGACCCTGTTTGCCTTCCCAACCCAGATAAAGTCAGCCAGACACTGCCAGCCGCACTTACCTGTCATAATTCCCAGTGAGTTTCACGGGACTTTGTTCTGATTTGGACATCCACAGCATCACAGCGTTAGTCCGCAAAATGCGACATGATTTCATGCTGATCACGTTGCACAATCACCCCTCTGAAGTTGTTTTTTTTTTAAAAATTAAAACGGTTGCAACCATCCTAGAACTTTAAGTCCCCTCTCTATTCCACCAGAATAGGCTGTTTGAAGATTATGGGATCAAGTCAGCTTCGCAGATCGACTTGACGCGTCCTCGGCCCAAATGTCCCGCGTTCCCTGCCCCCGCCTTTTTTCCAACCCTAAATCGAATTGCACGCCCCTCCCTTCGCTTGTTTGCAGATAAGATTCAAGGCAGAGAAGTGTAGCCTCCACCTTTTCGTCCGCCAGCATTGGTTTAGAAAGGGAGCCAATCAGTAGTTTTAGCGTCTCAACACGAGGAGCAACAGCCAATCAGGAACGAAGGTAATGATTTAAAAGAGTCCGGTGGAGAAAGCTCCGTTGTAGGTTTTAGACGAAGTGAGTGTGGAGGTAATGACTCAATGAGGGGTGATGGTTTTAGAACTTTCTATTTGTTCCTACTATTTAACATTTTAAGGGCTAGCTCTGTTGTGTTCTGACTTGGAATATCGTAACTGCAAAAGTAATATAGGGAGGGGCGAGTCGATCGGTATTTCTGTTCTATTCTCTTGTCCTTTATAACTGTTGTTAGTTGAAACTGCTTTTTTAGAAGTCTTATAACTATTTCTTGGGCTTACATTGTTTAGGTATATAGATATAGTGCTATTTTTCTGCCTGACAGCCTTCTAGAACTAATTCTTGAAGCTGTATTAATGAAGCTAGAAATGCCAACACTAGGAGTGTTAAATTGAAATAATTGAAAAAAAAATTGAAGGCTCCAATTCTGCTTACAAGTATCAGAGAGCAAGATATACTGAGCTCTATAGTGTTTGCACAGAATAAACATATCTGAAATCCATATGGGATAATATCTTTATTAGAACTAACCAAAATGTCACAAAGTTTTCTAGAACTTCAGGAGGCATGACATTCTAAAATAGGAAATGGGGGAGAACTAATTTTTTTTTATAAAAAAGATGATGTTTAAGCTACAAGGAGTTTAATTCAAAGTAAGATATGTGGTTTTAGACCTCTGAATACTAGAAGTTGGTATAATGAGAACTATCATTTGGAGATCAAATTAATGGCTGTACTGTATTTAGTCTGACTTACACATTTTGAATCTTTCTCAACTATCAGGTGTAACCCCTAATTTAGCATAAATAAGTCTCCTTTTAATGAGCTTGACACCCAGTTACTTCATCAACATGTCTATGGAACCAATATGTACCTGCCTACTTTTAGGATCTCAGTCTAGCCTATGGTACTGATAGTTTTTGTCTTAGTATTAACCTGGTCTGATTCTGCTTGTTTCTGAGCCTAGACAAAGTCAGCCAAGGCCATCTTCTGAGGCATAAATTTTCTACAGATGGCATTATTCCTAGTGGCCAATCAAAATTACCCTCTAGCTTTGTTGGTATCAAGACTGTATTATTTATTTACTTTCCACTGTAAGATCAAGGAATTATATATATGTAAAGTAGCAGATGGCAGTAGATGTTTCCAAATTGGGGAAGAAACAATGATCAAGTTGTGTTTTCAAACTGCTTAAGTTAAAAACGTTTGCATTTCCTGTAAAAATAACGAGTGAATTTTGTATAGAATTCATAGTCTTCCGAAGTGTGAGTTAATTTAAGGTAGTTTGAACCGTGGCATAAAAAGGATCACTGTCTTGGCTCTAGAAGATTCTGGCTGAGCTAGCAGCAGCTATCCGATTTGTGTGATATTCTAGGAGAAAAATAATTTGCAGGCCTGTATTAATGTGAGGGGTTTAGACAATCAACACATTTAGATGCACTATAATATTGTGGGTATCTGTTTTAGGGGTCATTTGATGCCATAGGAATGGCAACACATATCTTCATAGACAAAGAGAATGGAGAAGCTGGCACTGCTGCTGCTACTAAGGACCGACTAAAACTGCTATTGGCACCTTGTGAGTTTGCATTAATAGAATACAGTACAGATAGTCTAAATGAGCAGAAATCTCTTTCTCTAAAAAGGCTCACTCAAAATATTAATGGATTTGGATGCTGACTAATCACAATGCTTTGCTATTTTAAGAGGATGGAAGATGAAGAGCTGTCTAAATGTGATATCAGCATGGCTGTTGTGTAATGGACAGCAGTGAGAAGAGAGCCAGTCTTGAGATTCTACGTATAACTTGGTCATGTAATAAGATGATAACACAACAATACAGGGTGGGAAGGAAGAGAAATGAAAAGTGGCCACCATTCTGCCTGTATGGAAAGAATTGAGCTAAACTGCAAGATATTGTCGTAATTTCAGTAAAGGTTGCTTGTCTAATAGACTACTGGACATAAAGGCCAATGTAGTTGTACTAATTCCTCCATAGCCCTGCTTTGAATTGTGAAGTTGTATGTTTTTAGTGCATTTGGAGATGCTAAACTTACATTAAGGAAAAACATTTTAATTAAAAAATGTTGACATATAGGATCTAAATTACATTGTATAACAGGCCTTTTCCCCTCTACAGCGAAAAGTTTGGTTGAAAGACCTCATCCTAAAACCCCTCTTGTTGGAAGGACAGCTAATGTGAATCTAACAGAATCTCAATCAGTCAGGAAGGCTCTGGGAAGTTTGAACAGGCCTCTGGCAACAACGAAGAGTCAGTTCCCTAAAGGGAAAAAGTTGTTGTCAAAAAAGGTTAGTAAAACTAATGTTCTGTTGGATGCCATTGATACGCTCAGACAGAAGAAACTAACAATGCTCATGTCGAACATAGCTTAGAGAATAATTGTAAACCAAAGAATGAATAGTAAGACTGAATCACAATTTATTCATATATTCATGAAGAATTATCTTGATTCTCACTGTAACTAGAGAATGTAAGTTACTACTAACAATATTAAATGTAATTGCCATGATTTCACATTGATAAACAGTGATATAAGGCTGGAAAAAAGGATAGGTGGTTTATACCCATAGAAGCAATGCAAAGGAACTCTTGATGAGAACAAGGACAGTAATTCTGTATACATTCTATACTTTTCTGAAGCCTTGGGTCACGGGAAGTGAAGCAACTCTGTGAAAATCATTTAAGTCCCCAGTTTAATCTCTGGCATCTTCAGGTAGAGTAGTAAAACTTCTATTTGAAGAATGGAAGTGCTACTAGTGGGTCTTCACAGTAATGGGATCAGGTGGCCAATCGTCAGTCCTGGAATAAAACAGACTCCTGTATACCCCAGATATTCAGGTGCTACAATCTCTAGCCTTTGTTTTGAGAGGGTGTTGTAACTATTAATCTGGTTATTCTCACTTAGGCAAATGAAAATACAAGCAGAGCTGAAGACAACAGCATGGTTCCTGAAGACTGCCCAGAGAAGGAGAATCTTTTTTCTTATAATCCTCTAGGTAATGCCCAAAAAGGAAAGAACTTCAGTTTTCTTGGCAAAAGATTCAATAAAGAATCAGGTTACACAGATAAACATCGAGACAATAAGATGTGATACCACTGGCATGCTGTCCTGTTTATAGTGCAGTAGGATTCCATTCTAGATTTGGTTTAATAAAGATAGTGAAAAGTTGAGAGAAGTTAAATTGATTAAATTTAAGTGTAGCTTTAACCAAGCCTGTTCCTGACACATGCCTGAGGTGGAATGGGAAACTGCATTTCATTGTATTTTTTCTGCTGTTTTCCATGAACAGATTTTGAGAGTTTTGAGGTTCCTGAGGAGCACCGTCTGAGCCACATGTCACTGACTGGAGTCCCTCTTATGACATTTGAAAGTGTGCCTGACAGATTTGCAAGCACTATCCCTCCACCTATAAAACAACCTTCAATTTCATGGGACTATGGTAAATAAATACTTAGACTATATTCAGAAGAGCCAGCACCTGTGATGTTCTTTCTTTAACTGCCTTGTTCAACCTCGGGTTTTCAAGATGCACTGGGACCATAACAGCTACCATTAGTAGCTAGTTGTTAGTCATGTGGGCTAATAATTCTGCGAACTGTAGTCCTAAAGTACTTGGAAGGCACCTGGTTAGGAAGAGCTGGGCTAGAGGTAGTAGGAATTGAGTAAAAATTGAAAGAAGGCGGCAACTCTTTAGGAATTACCCAGTAACAGCTACTTTAGGAATGACTAAGTAAACATACATTTTGGTGTCTGAAAATAAAACCCTGAAGCTAGGGCTGAAACAATCAGAATTGGAATATAACTGATTTGAAATATTAAAACCTTTTATTCTTTTCAGACTGTCTGCAATCAACTAAGGACTTTCTGGCCACCCTGGATGAAATAATAATTGATCTTCCCCCTCCCTTATAACAAGTAAACAAGTTATATTTTAAAGGTGAATTCTGAACACGTAATGTCATAATAAAGAACTTATAGTTGTAACTTGTGTCTTGTTTGAACCTGCTGGTAGATTTGGGGAAAAGAATTTCATATAATGAAATTATTTATTTACTATTTTTACCCCAAAGGAAGACAACTCTGATTTTAAAATGATCCCAACAAAAGAGGAGAAGATAAAAAAGTTAAAACACCAAAGAGAAATGATCTTTCCCAGTTTATCAGCCAGGATTGCCAAGCTAGCTGAAACAATCCTGGAGATGCTCTCCTTCTGCCCCTCTCAAGCAATTTGTGCATGTGAAGCCATACTCCCAAAATGGCAGGGCAAGGACAAAAGAAAAGTTTAGGAATTGAATTAATAGCTACCAATTAAAATTGGGTATGAGACAAGGTACCCTGTTTGTAACATCAGTTGATAATCATCTGCGTTTACCAAGTATGCCTTGTCACAGCACAGGAACACAGTAGGAGATAACCATTCCCCTCCCTTCCAGCAGAAACTGAAGAGAAAATAAAACAAGGTGGAGATTTGGCAAGACAGAAGGGAATACTGTCCGAAGGAAGGAAAGGAAGAAACTGGTATAGATAAGAGCTGAGATAGAGCTAACTTGATAGGGAAAAAAAGAAATAGCCCTATTCTGGTATTACAAAAAGGGCTACAGTTCACCAGGCAAGTGAAGGGTACTTTCCATCCTTTTCAGCAGCAGTGTTTGCAGCTATTTGTCCATTCCCTCTTTTACTGCAGTAACTTCTACCCTCAGCAAATATAAGAGGATTTCCCCCTATCCTATTTACAGGTAATTATTTGGGGTCAAACCACTTTTCTTATTAGGTAAGTAAGTACAATATATGCTTTCTAGATTGCCTGCTAATCTGGTAAAATGTATGCGTTTAATCATATTTAATATTGCAGATGTGGTTCACTGAAAACAATAGGTGCCAAGTTTTGTGTCGACCCAAACTTCTAGACTGGATTTGCACAACATACTAGGCTAAAATGTGATTGACTAGTTTCTGGTTTAGGGTAGTATGCAATCTGGCCCCTGTTTATATTTCAAAGTTTAGTGTGAACCTAGGCAGCCGAGTTCATTCTGGGCAACATGAGTTGCAAACTAAATTAGCATATAATTCTGAACTTAATTCATTAATTTAAACATTTGGGCAATGAAAGTAGGTTTAACTTCTTGACTTCCACTGTGGTTTCCCTACTAATAGATTTCCATTCTGAAGTTGCCAGTGCATTTGGTTTTCTGCCACTAGGAAAGAAAATATTTTCAACTAATTTCACATTGTTTAAAGCCACCCTCCATTTGTTTAACAAGGGTGGAAGCTGGGTACCAAGGCTGGAAAAAGAACTGGGGTTCTGTCCATCTCTCCAGTTCTCAAACTTGGAAAGAAATCTTACCAAATTCGATTCTGAGCTGGGAATAAAAATGCGCAGGCAATTGCTTGAAACAGATAAGATTTGTTTTCCAGGAGCACAATGCACAGAATTGGCTATTGGAAGGTGGCTGCACCTTTGATTTCCTTGGGAGCCCTTTATATAGAGAAGATCCTGCTGCTGTTCCTCGAAAGGCGCGAAAGAACACCCGCCATGTAGGAATTCTTAGACATTGCACTTAGCTGGAGTTCCAAGAGGGAGCGCTCTGAAGTCAGGCACCCAGCTGGGTTGTGGTTTCCTGCAATTTGGCATCCTGTTGAGCTGAGGTATTTGCCTATCTAGGGCTGCTTGATTGGAATACTAATCTCTTCCGGGAAGAGAGATTTTGTTATTTGATTAAGGGAATCTTGTTAAGTTCAAGAAATGTTAACTCTTCCTGCCACATTGTAATCTTTTGGGTGAGCTCATTCTAACTATAAATTTTAACCTTTTGCATTGTTTGAGGGAGGAAAACTGTAATGGAGGAAGCAGCAAAGGGAAGACAATATGGCGGGGAAGAGGGCTTGTTTTTCTTCTTACAAAACTAATTGGAATCAGCAAATCCAAGGATAATTAAGATAGCAGAAGTATTCCAGATAGCTGAAATTACTGTCTCTGGAAAGATAGGTAAAAACATTTCACTAGGAACGTTGCATTAATATTTCTTTGAGTGTTGTGTGCTATAGTTTCTTATTTACATGGTTAATACCCAGTAGAGAACTGTATTAATAAATTTGTTATATTTCTGTAGAATTTTCTGTTCTGGAATAAGTTGAATCCTGTTCCAATCTTTTTAAAGAGAGTTTGTTTCTATTTGTAATAGACCAGCGTTATCTGGTGGAGTGCCGGGAGCATCTCTTTCATGTTTTCTTTTGTATTATCTTATGGATTTTCTGTTT